ATATATATATACGCTTTGCATTTTGTCAAAGGTCACGGCAGTAATCACAGGCTGACGGCTAAAGTTAGTACAAGCTCATATAATCGTGTCACGTTTCCTGATCACCTTCAGATTTCTCCAAAACGTGATTTGCAATACTGAGTTTGTAACCAAACAATAATTTTTTCGACGAATCTTTATTGTTTGAATTCACTTCCGTCAATAATAGGTCGCATTGTCGATAACCGCCCGTCAAACACTTTGTCGTTACTGTTTAGTACTCCACATTCTAAAATGCCCGAATTGTGTTTTGATGCAAAGATGAAATCTTGATCATCCGTTTCGCGATTGCTCGACTTGCTATGTATTGAAATAGAAATCCATTATTCGATGAAATCATTCAGAATACCAGTGGCTTACCACGAAGCATTTTTGCATTTAATCCCCGTAGGCCTGCGTATGTCATAAACCCCAATCATGTTCAATAACGTAAATCTAAGTATACCGGTTTTTTTGGCCCGGACTGTGTGCCAAACAGATCATGTTACAAGCATCTGTATGACATTGAAATCGATCCGCAATTTGTTATGCTGCCGGTCAACCATCATGTTCCCGAAAACGACGCGGGTAACTTTCAAACGGATTCACTAGAGTACCACTCAGTTGCGGTGGATTTCAATCTACACTACAGCGGAATACTGGATGAGGAACGCATTTTATTTGGATCCTCTGTCCGGATAAAAAAGCCTTATGCTTAGAAGTTTGAGATGCCCAATATATCTCGTCGCTCAAGCAATTCTATGGCATTTACGTTCTGGGTTTCTGGACGTCAGGTCTCCAAAAGCTTCATTATGGTCAGGGGTGGCTGTCTAGGATTGCGGCTGATCACCCTTTCCTTGCGCCTCGGGAAATGCTCCCATACGACCAAGCATCTCACATAGCCTCTGCTGAGGAAGCCCTATTCACTGCATTCTCGTGGTGGAGGTATTTCCCACCAAAGTAAGAGGATGGAAAGCCATCATCCTGGGCTATAAACGGGTTGGTGGACCACTGGTAGTTCACTTAGGGGAGTTGGCCAAAAACGTTGATTCCAAACCAACCAAGAAGAGGCGTGCAAACCACACACACACACACACACACACCATCCTGGTTGTGGTAATGGTCACCAGCTCCATTAGGCGTCGAAGTGTATTGGGCACCTGTGACTTTTGACCACATCCGAAGGGTGTATGATCCGATGAACTAGACACCGGCCCCCAACCGATTGCGGTTTTCACATACCGACCCGTTGACTTGCGGGTCACGCTTTGGTTAGCCGAATGNGAATGCTCCGGTTATGGATTCCTCAAGAACATTCACCTGCTTTGGCCTGGGAAACCTGGCAGTATTCCGCCCACATACAAATCATGGAACGTTTTTCTTTTCATAAAGATTATTGTACCATGATTTGTTTGGCACACAGTCTGGATTCAGACGTGTGTGAAATATATATCACATGTACCCTCTTCAACAACTGAAATTGACCATCAGGCTTAAACGCGGACCTGGCATGAGACCACTGAGCCTTCATCTCAAGTGGGTGGTGGTGGTGCGATGCTTGAGCTGCTTTCATCGGCGTGCTTTGGACCCTATGGTTCGAGGTTCGAGCCCCGCCACCGCTTAGGTTGCCGGTCATCATCACTGTACAGGAGGTTTTCGTGACTATGGGTTCGCCCCGTCCGTTGTCCATCACACACTGGTGTATAATAAAAGAAAAGTATTCCGGTTACCTTACCTTACATTATCGATGGAGGTCGGCAAAACTGAAACCAGGCTGTACACTTTTTAAACATTACACTTTTCGGTTGTCACACAAAACCGTTTAGCCATCCGGACCTGTGTAATTTAAATGTCATTAAAATCTTCAAACTATACCCATTTTGAAGAACGTGTTCATCGTGTGGCTTCAAAAAATCCCATTTGTTGTGAATTATTGATGAAAATAACCAAAAAGATGCATCCTATTTCCGGCCCTGATTTTAGCGCCCTGAAGCACAAGAAAAAATGCGAGCTCAATCATTCTTCATCCTCCCTGTGGGATCTATCCCCGAACTCTGGTCTACTCTGTCCCCCTGAAATGAATGTATCCACCTACACACTCAGTTTTAACGGTAGCATCTACCGCGTGGATGAAACCATCGGTATATCTGCCCCGGATCAGCATTCTACGTTCCACAAATCGTTTGCTCGCCGATTTCTCACCGGGATTAAACGCAGTCTCAGCTTGCATCACATCCATCACACAAGTTCACGCGGAGATCCCCCTCGTCAATTGAGCGTCGAGCAGTTGAACCAAACTGATACTGTTAGGCGTGTTCTGGTCCAACGACGTGGATCTCGCACAGCCCGTCTGCTTCAATGTGTTCGGCCATCCGTGACCGGGGACCATCAAGCAAGCACAGTGGATAGACTTAAACCTGGACCGCGGCAGTAAGTGCTTTATATTTTGTGGTCAGTGTGCTCGTTGAGGGTAAGTTTGGATAACAATTGGTTGATCGTTCCTGTGTTTTTGTCTAAGGTCTCTAATCAAATACTGATCGGTGGAAACCTCACTGTGTTCAAGTATCTACGCATGCGGATTAACTCGAGGTTGCATCAAGTGACTCTCGAACCACATAGCATTAGATGCAGCTGACTGTGTTGTGTTATTACCGAAAAATTCACCTTGACTGTAGTATGCACCTGATCATGGACACATTGTACAAATCCATGTTTCAGACTTCTCTATTCCAATTTATGGAGCAGTTCAAAAGGTCAGTACGCCTACGCATTATTCAACCAATTGGGGGCGAACAAATCTCTATTCCAATCAGATTGTGATCTTGATTCATTGACTGTTTGGTTGGTATTTTGGGACTGGTAAGCTCACACTTATCGTCCAATCCGCAGGTTCGCCCGGTGGTGAGCACACTAACCGTTTGTCGGGCGTTTGCTGACCGTTTGGAAGTTCTATTCCAACCGTGGGTGTCTATAATGCACAAAATCTTTAGACACACCTATTTTACTACAATTTCTTTTGAGTGCGTAAATGTAGAATCCTTAAATTTGATATACGTATGCATTGTGTCATTTCTGTTATAAACGTATGCCCCTCATTGGGAAGAACACAAGTCACGGAACTGGAACGGGTTGACCATACTTGGTTCAAAACGATTTACAGGATCAACATTTGAGATACACATCAGTGTACAAATCGGATCTGTCAATGATGACGAAAGCGCTAGTAGGCCGATCACGTGACATCTGATGCGAATGAGCTGCGGCAGAATTTGAATTCTCACTACATCTCTCTGCTCTTAAAAGATTAGGTAGCACACATCACTGATGACTCATAAGATTGATTCTTGGGATTAGTGATTAGTCAGTTTATTGGAGCTCGAGTTCGAGTTGAATATCACCAATCAGTTTGATTAGGTGCTTTGATCTCGGTGCTAAAATCTGCGAGACTTATGTTCGTAATCCGGTGGTCCATCACACTTGAACCCCGGATATGAATTACGCAATGCAAACCTAATTTGCAACGCAGAGAGTGGATTTTAAACGAAAAAGACTCGAAAGAATCATGGCAATGATTCTGTATCCGGTGTTGTGGGTTAGCAATATCTCACCTCAGCCAAATCAACGCCAGGGCCGATTTTCAGTATTTTTATAATGAGTAGCACATGAAGACTGAACAAAATTCCCCAAATGCTGAGGTTAGACGCTTCTAACCCACAATACCGGATACAGAATCATCTCAATGATTATTTCGAGAATTGTTCGTTTCAAATCCACTCTCCGAGATGCAGATTAGATATATGTTTGATATTACATGTATGTGAACTCGTTACAATCGATTTCCAATGGTATGGTCATGCATTGTTTACTTAGGCACAAATTCTGCCTGGCTGAAGAATTCCAATGTCGATAGGGGGAGAATAGAGTGGGATTGTTGAAACAACAAAAATCGAGCCGTCGTCCGTCTCAGTCAGCAGGGTTGCAGCACCAATTTGCGCACGCATTGCGGACTGTCACGCGTGTTACGCGCGTCTGGTAGCCATCTGCCGCGCAACGTCCGGTCCACGTTTGCTTCAGCCACAGTCCAAACACCCAGTAAAGTTGACCTATGAAGTCAATGCAAACCGCTTGACCTGGGCAGGTGTTAGGGACTGGGTTCATCCCCCACCCCTCCGTCCATGTCGTGTCGACGCCCTATTCGATTGGCCCTCTCCCCTCCAACTGAAGACTATGCAGCATATCTGTAATTCGTTTAGGATTTCCATCATTGTAACATTTGAGAAAACCCGAAATAGCGCGAGCAAGCTCGTTTTCGATAACGGCGTTCTCTTCTGGCCACTACAGTTATGTAAATAGGTTGTAGGCATACCGCATTTGCATAACGTTGGAAGTGTGTGTGTGTGTGTGTGTGTGTGTGCGTGTGTGTGTGGATTTGATTGGTAGATATAATTAGTTGATTGTTTATGGTTTACAAACGAAAGTGAGCGTTTGGTGGATGAATCTGAGGATGAGGCACGTCAGGATTCGGACCTAGTCAATATTGATCATCCCCTGTTTGGGTCACCGGGTCATGCAAACGGTCAGATTCATTCACGCGTCACTGTGACTATCTATGCCCATTATCGATTCATATAACTGTAATAACCAGAAGAGGAAGTTATCAAAAACAAGCTTGTTCGTGCTACTTCGGGTTGATTGCCAACAGTTCAAAACTACGAACGTTTTTGTTCTTTTGGGGATCGCAGTTTTGGGATTTCTTTCCCGCAATCCCCGATAGTTGGTGCATTCCATCGCAAGTAAAATATATTAAAGATGTGGTAAACAAAACAACTTCCCTGTAGTGAAGCTCACACAAAACGAACAGTACATGAAGCCTGATGTCTTTCAGTTTGCATGAATATATCAGAAAGCCAAATCAATCACATGCTTCAAGTGTTGGATGTCTAGCATATATCCCTGGAATAATGGTTTGGATCCCCTCTCTCGGAGCTCATGCTTCGATTCCCAAATTCCAAAGAAGATATAATCTATTGAACTTGTCATTTTTATAGCCAAGTAATCTAAACTTTAAAACTTCACTGGCACCACGAGAAATCCATCTGAGTTTCTTTCTCAGTACTGTCCTAAGAAAACTACATTGCATCATGGTAATGGAATCGTTTTCGAATCTAGGACACATGGACGGAATATTTCTTATATCTATGTTATTATTGATTTATTCCATTCCAAATAGGATTCCCATTGATCAAATGCATCAGTTGCGTTCACATTTAGTCTTGCACACGTGTTTTTTAGACCCCCAAAAATTTATGGCCCCGCAACAGATCCGAAAACTCCGTGGACTTTATGTCGTCATACAGCCTCCTTTCCGAACTCCTTCGATGTCGGTTCATGCCATTCCTCCAATGATCGCCTAGTCACTTCGCACAGCTTTACAGACTCATTGGGTCAATCCCCTAATCGATTAAAACACTCACAATCTACGATTTCCGTTCAAGCGGACCAATGGTTCTCCAATCAGCATCACGCATCTATCCCCTGGCCAACCGGATACACTCTGACATCCCCTGGACTTATCAATGTCGGTGCGATTCACTCCAGTTTAACTGGAGGTCGATCATATTGCTTCTTGTTTGTCGGACCAATCCTTTCGTTTGGCAGTCAATCCACAACAACTTCATCACAGGCTGGAGCAAGTCTAGAGGCGCGGATTTTTGCTGCCCCCAGTCAACTGAGTCGATTACGCTGGATTCGAAGGTAGGGTTTTCTGTTTGATCAGAAAATAAGCAATTTGTAACAGCGCACCTCTTGCTACAATAATGATTTGATTAAAGTTACCGTTTTTAGACTCGGGCAACTCATTACAGGAACATGTAATCAGTGTCGTACAGTATCTGTCAGATTATGTAGGTGGCTTTCCGAAATGTCATAGCTGCAACTTGCGTCGACGAATGTTATTTCGCACTTTGTTAAGCACTATACATGAACTACTCACAAGTAGTTAACCTGTTTTTCTCAATTAGTAGGAAATAATAGAGTCAATCAGCAATCATGGTTTCCCGACAGTCGCTTCAAGGTTTTATGAAATAAAACAGTTTCCTATAAAACCTGCTGCATTCTAGGGGAAGGCAGGTTTACAATAGTTGGAATCATTTATTCTTAATCGTACAATTCGTTTAGACAAATAAACATGCATTCAGGAATAGCATTCATATAGCATTCATTTCTTGCATCGTGGAACTAGCTATATGTACTGTCACTCTCTTTGCATGCTTCCTTACCGCCGTGATCCCCCTACTTAGTTTGCCAACCATTTATTTGTCTGTCTGATAATGAAGTCCCCGCATTAGTTATAAGCTTCAGATATTGTGGATTTCATCGTTCTACCAAATTGGAACGGTGGTTCAAAACTCGTTAGAACCGAAAGAAGCACTTCGAAACACGAACATGTTCAAAGTCAGGGTGTTGCACAAGTTTGGTCAATACCCGTATATACCCAGTTTGTTAGCGGGTTTTCATAATCTCAAAGCCATTCAAAAGTGAACCAAAATATTTTAATAAGACCGTCTGGTCTGTCGCAGCCCTTGCCCGTCGCGATCATGTCAGACCATCAAGGAGTATTTTAGTTCCAGACTAGAAGTGTTTTCTTTAATATGAATAGACATAGCAATTCATGGTTCGTATGTATGTCACATGCTGAATAGGTCAGACATAAAGCGTTCTATAAAAAGGATCAATTTTTACATTTGAGTGAGACCTGAGTTTAATCCAAACCGGGATTTAGTGGACTTGTCGAACTGATATATATCTACCATTTGTTGTTTCACTTCACAAACGTCGTATCCGAGTGCTACACTTACGTCTGCTTTTGCTCAATCGAAAACACACGCATAGACACGTTTGTAACAATTGCAAATCGACGAGGTAATGCCAGTCATTACTGGTATTTTAATCAATTATGTTGAAACATTGGGTCCCCTTTATCCTATTCATTAGAACCGAAAGAAGACAAATACTGCGAGATGTTAACATTTCTTTTAACCTCTTCAGTCGCTACAACGTAAAACAATCTGGTATTTATACAAGCAAGTTTTGATAACTACAGTGGTAACGGACAATAGTCAGGGAAGCGGGGTAGAAGGTGGGGTGGGAAATCAGGTCCATGGCAGTTTAACTGATTAAGTAAGAAACTTTTGTGCATATGATATTGGGCTACGTAACTTGATTAGCACCGCCTCACTAAACGCCAAAATCCTGGGGTTCAAGTTACGTAATAATGGCTTGAACGACATTTGTGGGTCAACGATGTGTCCAGTTGCCATGAGATTTTTTGCGATTGATGACCCTGGATTTCTCTTATCGGTTTTACCTCTAAGACTTTGTTGCGTCATCGATTGTACCAACCACTTGGGAATGTGTTCAGACATCCGTTGTGCCAGAGGCCGATGTAAGTGTCACCGCAACTGCAGGTGAACTGGTAGACGATATGTGAAGCAGAATTGTTCCGCTGGTTCTGTTTTCGATTGTCTAGACGAATTCCTTGGGTATACGGTATCAATCGATGCTACGCAGCAGGAAACGTTCGACACAGTGCCGCCTTGAGCTTTTGACGCACGCCGTTCATTATATGATCACCTTTAAAGGCGAGTCTGAGGAAGACGCTCTTCGGTACTTCGCAGGCGAGATCAACCGATGTCTTTCGTCTGCTATGCACATCAATAAATTTCTCTGGATAGCCATTATTCAGTAGCATCCTTCGCAGGAAACCCTCTTCTTATTGGACAGTGTCAGGGGAGCATGTATTCCTGGCGCGATGGAACAGAGCCTTCACGAGACCTCTTTTGTGAGCCACAGGAGAGAAACTGGCAAATTGCAAGTATTGCCCACTCCACAACCGGTTCAAAACTCTTGAGAAATAAAATATTCTGTTCCTGTACGATTTTCACCCGGGAAAATAAAAGGGGTTTTATTTCGTAATAGGTTTCCGGTGATTTCATGGTTCCTATAAAAAATATTATTTTTACTCACTTTAATCTTTTCCCCCTGCGTATCATTTGGTGAATACTGTTTTCGACTGTTGAAAAACGAACACCTTTCCCCTCTGATAGAGTCCAGGGAAAAGTCAAGTTATGCTATGTAAATTTTCTCATTGATTGGCTTCGTTCATTTTGATATAAGTCTTTTTTGTTTATACAGTCAATCTCCTGTTATGTCACACTCCTCGGGGACATATCATGCTAGTCAGTGATACAACTATTTTGTAGAATGAAAAATCGATTGAAATACTTGTTACAAAGTAAACAATGTCGATGAAAACCACGTTTCTTCCGTTGCTCGTTCCCATCGTTTGTTATTTCCGAATCCTTTATTAAAGCGGAGAATTTAAATATGCAGTCTCACATGGTTGCTCGGGTGCACTGAGATAGGTCGAATTGTTTATTTTGCTCGTATTTTAACATTAGAACAGTGCACTCGAACTGGTGCTCTTTTTTCATTTTCAAGTGTCTATTTACCCAAAAACTGAAAACCTTTCCTTGGGAAAATTTTTCTAACCATATTACCGAATTTTAATTCTAAATTTTGTCCTATTCATTGCGCTTGAACCACAAAATTGATTATCTGGCGTTCAACATGATGTGCAACGGTTTTTTCCCTAATGATGTCATGAAAATCGAGTATGGTTGACGATTCAATCCTGATCCTGGATGTGGGCTTGGATGCCTAATTCACTGGTAAAACCGCGTTTAATAGAAACCACGTAATGTTGAAATAGCGGTGCATTGATTTTTTCCTTATTCCAAGGTCCCATTGTCCTATGCACGCTCTCCCTCTATGCATGCCGGTGAAAAATCTGTACCGTAGTGTCTGTAAACAACAATACGTGCGATGCGGTTGCCTACTGAAACTGATCGAGGAATTCGTTATGGTACCTTTATAAGTCATGATCTCATTGACTGAGAAGCTCAATACGTGATGCTATAACGTGATTCACCAAGTACAGTTGCATCGCTCAAACCCAGTAAGGGGCTCGTGAAACCCAGACCGTTTTTTTTTGCGATTTCGTCCCTACTCTTGCAAGCACAACCACAATTATTGTTCAAACACTCACACAGGCGCATCAGTGAGTGTGACAACGGTTATCGGTCGATGAGAGATTTAACATTAATGTGACAGAGTAGAACAATTTATTTTCGCCACACTCAGCGAGATTGCTCGTATTGCGGCAAATATGACCCTGATTTTGTTGACTAACATGAACAAAATGATCACAAAAACTGGAAATACATTTTGAGCATTCCATGTCTGCAAACGATGCTCTCCACCATGGGGAAATCACAGGACTTTTCCCTCTTGTCTGTAAATCATGCCACGATCGCTTCGGTTAGCTGCCTTGATCTTTTCGTAGGTTTTTAGTTGTCATCTTTCCCGAATGCATCAGCGTTGACCAAGTTTTCGATAATCGATTCGATTGGCTGTAACATGGGAAGCAATTTTCCTTGAAATTTTTCTACAGATCCCTGGCTAGAACCTGACTGATTTAGCGCTTCTACAACATTCTGCTTCTTTCTGGTAGATAGGCGCCTGAATACTGTCATGTCAAATGACACTGTCTTGAACTGCTGACACCTGTGCGCCTTCTTCACAAGGGTTATCCAATCAGATCACGTTAGAGACACTGAGTGATATGGCTGAGTGTAGCCACTGTTTCCAAAACAGTGGCTCTCGTGCATCTACGCACGATTCTTGCAGCTCCAGACTATATGAATTCTCTTTCTTCTCTTTGGTCCTGCCCTCAACCTTCCGATCTGCATTCTGCGCTCGTATCCAAGTGGGAAACCAAAGGACAACCACCGAAACCGGCGCATGAATATGCACGGTTATTGGTTACAAAAACCGGAGCTGAACTGAACTATCCAATCAGTGAACAGTGTCATACTTTCGTCACACTTGCTAAAGATAGCACCGAATATGTTACAAAACATCAGCTTCAATCCGTTCAACACGAACCGCAAATGCCATTCATGAACATATCGTTGTTCCTATTGCTTTTGACCAATTTGCATCATCTTCGTTTTTATGTGTTACACGTTTTGTGGTTTTATTCTGACTACTCATGAATAGTCTAAAATTGCTTTTGAAAATTACCATCAGACAAATTCGCTTTGAGGATATCCCGATATCGATTCAAGGTATTTCCATAATAATTCCAGCTTAGCGGTTTACCATCCACGTTGAACCAGGACATTTGAAATTGACGCTGAGACCTGAATTAACGCCCGAATATCTTTAATTGAAACGAGAACGTAGTAAATTAAACAAGCACCGAAAATCGCATAAGATAAAGACAGTAATTATGTATCATCTTTTCAAGACTGGCATCAGAAAAACAAAATCTATCGAGTGGTGAACATTTTCG